TGCCATCGTCGCTCGGGAAACCGCGCACGACGTTTCCAGGCCACAACGATCGCGAGGAAGACGTAATTTCCAAGACGGCCTCTGATAAGGCGACTAGTGTATAGACAACGGACAGGCAGTGTCGAGGAGGAGAGGAGGAAAAAGTGAAAGAAAATGAGAGAGAGAGAGACAGACAGAAAGTAAGACAAAAATAGGAGGCAGCAACCACATAACGAATACACCACGGTGAAATTGAGATTGGTTATCGAGGACTTGCAACCTTTCTCGAGGCTGATGGGAGGAGCGTGGCGCGCCGTGCCAGCAACGCGGTTCGGCAAGGGGGCTCAAATCGGATAGTTTGTTCATTAGAGAAATTTCCCGATCGCGAGAGACCAGCTGGAGGAATGGCCGAGCGTGTTCAGCGTGTATTTGTCTTGATAAGTTCGAAGCAGGAAATGAGACTGTCGATAGGAGAACGCTTCGTTTCAGCTCCCCTCCCCGTCGTTGTATCTTACGGTCGTCTCATTCAGTCACGGTGGTTTAGGGGGACAAACCCTCTGCCCCCTCACCCTCTGCCGCTAGAAATGAGAATTTCGATTCATTTAACGGACGGAATAACGGTCGCTTGCAGGTACTTGAGAAGTACCGTTCTGGCACCGAAGTCGACTTCCTCCAGATGCCATTTACCGTTCGATAGCCGACTATCAAGATCGCGTAGGCCATCACGGAGACCAGAATCGATCGTAAAAGTCGCATAATTGCGATTTAGTAATTCCTGGATCGCAGAATAACAAGATCATTGAGCAGCTGGGCGGATGAAGGCTTTGGCAATCGCCAGAGTCTCTCGAGATCTCGATTAAATAACAACCCCCTGCCTCAATCCTGGATAATTTCCAGTATTCCAGTATTTCTGTATTTCGATATAATCGTCGAATGGGAAACACCATTCGGGATCGTCGTTTCCACGAAGAAGAAAACAGGTTCTTACGTTACGTCGACTGCGAAACTAAGCTAACCGGAGGCTAAAGTTAACTGTTATTGAATATCAAGGCACCAAACGAGCTGCAACGCGAGCTGCCAATGCTACACTCGCTTAAATTGCACAAGGCGATTTGGCGTTAGCATCTCAAAGACGCGGTCCAGAAAGACCACCTCGATCTCCAAATACAAATACTCGGCTGTCTGTGGAATATCGACGATCGAGCGGATAACGCGCGAAATGGGCTGTTAGAAAGGGGATGCGTCGTCGGATAGGAAGACGCGCGTGGTGTCAAAGACAGGGGAGTATCGATTCTCGGGGGCCGATCGAGGAAAGAGGCAGCAAGAGGTTTTCCGCGAGGCTCTCCGGTCCGACGAGACCCGATTTGACCTGGCACACACGCCGTCCATAGATCAAGCAGAACCCTTAGGTCGAAGCAACCTCCCATGCCACGGGCTAACCATTAATTTACAACCCGCAGAGTAAGCCCGTGGCTCATCCCCTGCATACAGGATCCACGTCCCTTTGCGGCAAATATGAGCTACGACGTGGCACTGAGGGATTCAACCGCCCTTGTTCTCCACCGACCTAGTCGACACCGTTTCTCTCTCGTCCATTCTGGCTCTGTCTCGTCCTCGTGGCTCACCAACTCGTCTTTCTTTCTAACTCCGGCCGTCTAAGCGGCTTCCACTTGCCAAATAAATTCCCCAGATTTCCCGGGAAAGAAATTTAAATCTATCAGGGACACGTCCCGGTTAATATCGCGTAACGCGCTACAGACGGGGTGGAGAAGGGGGAAGGGGGACGCGCTTGTCCGAAAGTAATTGGACCATTTCCAGGGATACGTTCTTCCGCTCGTTTAAAGCACGGTCATCTTATTCCGGGACGAACATCGCGTTCAACATCGGTGGACGGTGTTTAAAAGCGATCAGCAGAGTGGATCCGACGGATGATGTCCGCTTGATTCTCTTCCCTTTCTCGTTTGACGCTCGCGACGGTACGGTGATTCTTTTGAGGTATTTCGAAACGGACGGAAATCCGTAATTTGTCGGAAGATCAGTGTGTAATTAAATTGACGATTCAATTTTACGAAAGCTTCCCTTTTCGATTAAACTTTGCCAGCTGCCCCTGTTTAAAACCCATCTGGACCAATATTTCGAAATTTTTAAACGTGGCGATCACTTCTGACTCG